GAGAGAGAGAGAGAGAGAGTGATCACTACTAAGATTTAAATGAGTCATTGTTTTTGCCTCATGCAGGCCTTCAAGGACTAGGGGCCATCCCTAAAAAGTGGGGACCCATGAAGATTCTTATCTAGGAGCACTAGAGTGACATAACTGAGTTTCATGAGATTCCTAGGTTAGGTGATCCTGGTAACAGGGGTTGATGTGAGGACCTGAAACTTCTATGATCTAGACATCCTGAACCTGGATGATCTGTGTGCTTCAGTTTGGGGTTCTAGACCTAGACGTGGGTTGAGTGGATTAGGTGGCTCCCAGGGTTGATTCGACCTTGTTGAAACCTGTAACTATCCTATTGTTCTGTACCACAACCATCTTCATCCCCGTATCATTTTTGCATATCCAAGCACGTCACATCCCATCCTTCCTCTAACCTTGATCTTTACCCACTAGAAACCTTCTTTCCCCAAGTGCAGCCAACCTTTTCATCACTTTATCAAAGTTGGATGAGTCACATGCCTTACTCCATAATCCATTCCCCAATTTCATCATCTTCTTTCTTCCATCTAACTCGCCACCCACACCCATCCGTCGTTTATACATTCCAGCCTACAAACTAGCCATGCTAATAATCTTTGGTGGAAACCCTAATCTCTTCCATTTTGATCCTCATAAACTCTTAACTAGATGCTTCGATGCCACCAGGATGCAACCTAGTTTCAAGCCAATCCAATTCTAAGTTTCTTACCTGAATCCCATGAACCCTTTATCCCGAGCACTAATCTAACACATCAACATAGCCTCCAAATGCTAGCCATCCTCATGTAGGAGCCAATTCTATTTCCCCTACGTCAACAACAGTTAAAAAAGGCTTATCCAATCAAAATAATCCAAAACTGAGAAGTTGTTGGGAATGATGAAAGAAAAACCAAGTCCTTATGACGAAAAAGAGAAAAATGTGAAAAATATTTTCTAAAATATTTGAAAAGTAAAAGGGCCTAAGCTTTTTTTTTTTTTCTTTCCTTGTTCTACCCCACTTGAAATTTTTTTTAATGGGAATCAAATTGAATGAGAAGAGAACCAAGAGAGATGAGGGATAAGTGTTCATCGAAACTACTCACTCTCTACAAATGTCTTCTTTCTCTTCTCTAAGTGGCTATATATTTTGGAAGGGATTCTGAGTGGCCAAGGCATCTTGCACATGCCTCTCTCTCTTTCAAATTTTTTTCTCTCTCTCTCTCTCTCTCTTACGCTTCCTTGTGAACTGGGTTCAGGGATGTGCCTCAAAACTTTGTGAGAGCCCTACAGTCTCACGGGATAAATTACTACACCATGCTCCCTAATTCACCTCTCTCACTCTTTAAATTATTTCTTAACATTTGTTTTCCAGCAAGCTTCTCTTCTCTTTCATGCACTATCCTGGCAAGCTCTTTCACAACAAGTCTCTCTAGGGAAGCAACAAAATTGGGCCTGCAAGTCTATACAAATTTGGTGAGTTTGTTTTATGGTTTTGTATTTAAAATACTACTTGAAATTGGGGAAAGGTTGCATGAGCAAGGAAAAAAACTATAGGGTATCATTTTTAATTGGTTGAAATGATTTACGTGGAGCTTTGATTTGAATATGCTTGTTGGAAATTTGCTATACATGGAGTTTTGTTTCTTTTATGCATGACAAAGTTGTGATCTTAATGTATCTTTTTAGAGTGTTAATAAACTTTACAGCAAGCTATAATGACTGATATTTGATATCGAAAGATGCTTGCATGCCAGTTGTTTGTTTAATTTCCTGATTGAGCTGAAATACAATTTATTTGCCAATATAGCTCTATTTGCTTTTCGAAACCAAAAGAACTACTATAAACAGGCTACAACATAACGATGGGAGATGAATGAATTTGTCTTTCATCAACAAATTTTTTGTTGGATTATGATTTATGAATGAATCAGATGATGTCTTATTTGCACATGTAGTAGCTCAATAAATGGTATCTACGAGAGAGGGATATCTTTTGGAATTTGTGATTACCTATAATATCAAACATGCAATTATCATGGAATTTTTCTTCAAATTCTTTAATTAGCAAAAGAAACCATAGCTCTAAGGTTTTAGAGAGATTGGATTCTCCCAATGTTCAAGAAGTCACAGGCACCTGCCTCGGTAGTTTGGGAGCCTGGCTGCCTAGGAAGGCGCCCAAGATCAAGGCAGTAGAACCCAACCCTTCTCCCCTCCCCCTAACTTCTTTTTTTTTTTTCTTCTCGCCCCTCCCTGCTCTTCCTTTTCGTTTTTCTTTCGTTCCTCTCTCTCTCTCTCTCTCTCTCTCTCTCTCTATTCCCCCCCCCCCTTAGGGAGTTCTCAGGGCAATTTCAAGGCCCCTATAGATAAAAGAATAAAAAATTATAAAATAAGTGAGTGTTAGACACATGTATCATCATTCATCAAATTGCATCAAAACTCAATGTCATTTTAGAAACAAGATAAGTCAAGCATCAAAAGTCAGAAACACAAAAACAACTCTGTCACTCATCAGTCATCACCAACTGAAGGAATTGACTTAAAACTTTTGGGAAAATCAAATATGAGGCGTAATATCCTGATCCTAGAGTTTCAGGTCGGGTGGAGATGATTTGACCACTCATTTGTATTTGTCGGCAGCCAAGACCTCTATCCGTCGCCTGCCAGGCACAACTATGTCATCACTCATCAGTCATCACCACTCGGGGTGTAGGGCTGAGAATGGGTCGGATCGGGTCTGGATCCATTAGGATTTGGATTCGGATCTGAAAAGTATACATGGGATCAATAATTTTTGGATCCGATCGGATCCATAATTTTTGGATTCAGATTCAGATCTGAAAGGTATACACGGGATCTGGACCCGATCAAATCCAAAAAATTACTTCACATATTATCTTATATCTATAAAATAATATATAACAAAAAAGGGTGTGGTTTCTTTAAGGTTGCAACCCTAAACAATCCAATTAAGGCACACTTTCAAATTTTATCATAATATATAATTTTGGTGTAAAGATTCCTTAGGATTATATTAAAATCTATTTTCATCTCTAATTATAAAATTTTAAACTCCAAAAATGGTTAAAATCAAGTAGATCCATAATCATATGAAAATCTCGAAAGTGGACCGTCTAGATAATGTGTTGCAAGATGCACTATTTTTGATACTTCAAATCATTTTTTTCTTTTTCATATTCATACATCTCGATATCGAGATTATGAATTAGAAGGTTTTTCAACATTAAAACAACCTTTTTCGATGGATTTTTGAGGTGCATCTGTAATTCTGCATTTAAGTTAGCAACCTTATAAAAAATTTTTCCAACAAAAAATACTATATAACATACATGTCTAAAATAATATATTATTTTAATAACTGGGTTGGATCTGAATCATATCAACTTGTACCTGGATCCGATCTGAATTGCTATTTGGACCAAATTTTGGATCCGGATCTGACTCGTCGGATCCAAATCTTGGATCCATACTTGGATCCGGATAGGGTCCTAAATTCGGGTTTTGAATCCAAACTGGGTAAATTCTCAGGCCTATCGGGGTGTTCAAGTTGTCCAACTTGAGCATAATCTGATGATAATGATGATCATGCCATCATCATTAGAGTCATCGCCCTTTGCAACATACTGAGCATCATCCCTCATCTCTTATCGACCTCTTCCCCTACTCCTTTGCCTTCCCCTTTCCCCCCCTTCTTTTCCCTTTGAGATGGAGCCCGAGTGGTCCGCACAGGGCTTAATAGTGTCCTAGCAGCCTCAATGCCTCATGAATCTGGCCCCAGGTCAAGCCCTCTCCGAGGAATACCTGATCTTCCTTGGCATTAACTAGCAACTCACAAGTATCATCTGTATCATTAGCTTCAATAGTCTCCCTTTCATTGCCCTCCAGTTGTTGATGACGCTCTCGTAGCTTTTGATTATACTGAATGAAGACTAGGTCGTTTAGTCGCTTTTGAAGTCTGTTCTTTTTCTTTGTATGCTCCTATTAGACAAAATTTGAATGAACAATCAAAATTTTAAAAAACATAATATAGGTAAAATGGTTAACCTAATAAACTAAGTAACTAATTACTATGTTTGTTTAAGTAATTTTACCATTTCAAACATGCTGAAGTTGCGCTTACATCCGGACATGCTACAAGTCAGATTCACTTATACATAGCCATCAGTTGTAAATTTGGTGTGTGCTTCCCCTATGGCTCATCCACCATGCAGCTATTTCACATAAATGTAAATACATTAAATAAGGTATCTATGTAATTGAAATTTAATATTCAAATCATGAAATCAAAGTGATCTTGGTCCTTCACCTTATTATTAACTCCTTTATCAAGAGACCTAATAGAGAGCTTATACTTTTCCAACTCCATCATTACCTTGTCCTAGACTTCGGGATCATGGTTGAGTTTGATATTTCATTGGTTGAAAGCTTCTATGAATTCAGTCTTTCGATGGACCTTATGATCACTATAAAATTGAGCAGGGTTAAGGTAGTACCCTGCTAAGTGTAGGGACCTCTCAAGTTAGTAGTTCCATTTATCTTCAATAATCTTCATGTATTCCTCATACTTTTTTCTCATCATTCCCAAAAAATCTCTTGATTTCTTCCTTTGTGTCCTCCATAGCTTTATAAATGTGACCCATAGCGGGTTCCTACTCAACATCAACCATCTTGAGTACTTTTATTAACGGCCGAAAAACATATAGGGCTTATATACTGAACCTTATTCCAAAATTGTGAGTCCATCACAATCTCCATCACTACTTTTCTATTTGGTTTCTTGGCCAACTTGGAATTGGTCTAATCCTTAAATACAGACATTAACCTCAGCTTTTTCCGTTTGATCATACAAAGATTGCTAGGACAAGTAGGAGGTGGCAAATCGAGTCACCCCAAGCCTCACCAAGTCTCTACCCTTGATGAACTTCCTCATCATGGCTAAGACCTAGCCAACATAAAATTTCCTAAATTATAAACTTACAATGACATCGCATGGCAGGTATCTTTTCAAAAGAATCAAAGTAACAACAAAGCACAAAACATAGTATAAAATGCATTTTCTTACTTGACTGTGACTGCATAAATAAACTTTGATTTTTTGGTGGTTGTCCTCATCTATTTCCTCTTACCAATCGCCTCAAGCATGAGGTCTATGCAGTGTACCACACAAGGTGGCCAAAAAATACATGGCTTCCTCTCCATTAATAATCTAGTGGCTGCCATATTGGCTGAGTGCATATCGGTCACTACTTGAACCACTCTATCCTCCCCTACCTCCTTTATGCCCTTGTCCACCAAATAACAAAGTTGAGTAAGATCTTGCGAGTTACTTAGTGATCGTGTTCGGTCAAGCTAGAAGGGGAGGCGTGGTCGCTTTGAATGTCTTTTTCTGCCTTTGGCTTGGGTAAGGAAAGGCAGAAGAAGTAATGAGCACAATCCTATCCTCTGAGTTTACCCTGTCATTGCATTTCGGACAGCCGTCGGTAGCATCATAAGGAGCACCTCACTTTCGAGGTACCCAACAAAAGAGTACAGTACTTAGGAGGTTGGTCTTTCTCAACATGGTGTATAGCACAAAACCATTCGATACAAGAGGGGGCCATGAAGGCCGCATCATGGGACTTGTTAGAAGCACCAATAGACCTTAAGAACATTATCCTAATGGACAATTCCCATCAAATTCATAATGCTTCTATTTCTCTTATTACTCCAACCATTAGTCATAACAGTGCAATCGTATATTGCCCTTGCGTCATTTTGGATCTTAAAAAAGTTATTAGTGAGCTCAACTTCTTTTTTAAGCAATAGCCCCTTAAGCTCATAAGTAGTTGATGCCCTAAACCCTGGCCCAAATTGGCCCACTGCTTCTAACATAGTCTGAAAGCTATTCAAGGTAGCAACATTGAAAGAATGCCTACTTGGTAGAACCATCTAGCTATATATTATGCTAACCGTATCTCTATCCTATTTTTTTAAGTGCCTCTCTAAACTTGTTTGATATGGTCAAATCTCAGGATCCAAAAGGTTGCAGGGGGGGGGGGGGTAAGAATATATAGGCTAGGCCCTCTTCTTCAGGGCCTCTTATGTATGGACCCCATTGGCCTATCAGAAGATCCGGTCTAGGCATATAATTCCTCTTCCTCTTCCTGAACTCCAAAAAGAGCGACGGTTCTGACATCTTCTTCGTGTCTTTTTCTTACATCCAAGATCTCTCTCCTAATCTCAGCGGGCACTTGAGTGCATGGGGCCACATCTCCTTTCACGCCGGCTAGATTCTTCTTTAATTTTTTAGTCCCAACATTTATAATTTATTGCAAAACTTATGCTCCACCTTGTCAATGAGATTTGGGGAAGATCCATATTTCCAACTCGAATCACTTTGCTTACTTGATCCACAAATATGAAGTATTAAGAAAAAAATAAGAAAAATATCCAAGTTTTAAAATTAGAATATGAAG